CCGGATGACAGCTTCGGTAGTGGTGGAGGGCATCAGGGCGACCTCCAGCCATTTGGAATAGGTGTCCACCACTACCATAAAGGTCCGGCCGTGAAAGGGGCCAGCCAGATCGATGTGCACCCTCGACCAGGGTGTCTTTGGCGTCTCCCAGGTGTGTCCCTTAGCTGCCGGTGGTGCAGGCCTCGACTCCTGGCACGCTTGACAGGCGGACACCCAGGCAGTGATGGCATCGTCCATATTAGGCCACCAGACGTAACACCGAGCCAACGCCTTCATTTTGACAATTCCCGGGTGGCCAACGTGCAGAGCCTCCAGGACGCGCTGACGGAGTCCCTGGGGAATCACGACGCGGTCTCCCCACAGCAGGCAGCCGCGATGAGCTGAGAGTTCATGTTGTCTGGTTGCGAAGGGCTGGAACTCCGATGCAAAAGGCCCTTGTGGCCACCCCCTCCACACCCAGTTGAGCACCCGGCTGATAGTGCGATCCTGGGCAGATGCGGAGGCCACAGTGGCAGCCGATACAGGCGCTGCCGGAAGATCCTCAATCAGAAGGAGCGATGAAGCTGGAGCCGGGTCTTCCACAAATGCTGGAAGAGGGCAACGGCTGAGGGCGTCGGCATGGCCCATCGATTTCCCCGGGCGATGGATGAGCCGGTAGTGGTAGGCAGCCAGGAAAGCAGCATGCGTGGTGAGAGGACCGGTGGAGTTGGACGATCACCGGCGAGGAGGCCCAGGAGTGGCTTGTGGTCAGTGATGAGGTCAAAAGTCCTGCCATAGAGGTATTCATGGAACCTCTTCACTCCAGCCACAAGTGCCAATGCCTCCTTGTCGAGCTGGCTGTAATTCCGTTCCGTCGGAGATAGTGTCCTGGAAAAGTAGGCAAGCGGTGCTTCTCTTCCACCTGGAAAACGGTGACTCAGGACAGCACCGATGCCAAAAGGTGAGGCGTCGCAGGCAAGGACCAGCGGCCTGGATTCACTGTACTGCACCAGCACACTGTCTGAAGAAAGGAGAGCCTTGACCGCGTTGAAGGCCGCCGTCTCCCGATGACCCCAGGCCCAAGGCGTCTTAGTGCTAAGGAGTCGGTGAAGAGGCTCAGCCACTGTGGCTTTGTGGGGCAGGAACATGTTATAAAAGTTCAGCAGCCCCAGGAATGCCTGCAACTCCGTTTTGTTCTTTGGGGTGGGGGCCTGCTGGATAGCGCGGATCTTGGATGTGGTTGGATGAAGACCGGAGGCATCGATAAGATAGCCCAGGAACTCTACCTGTGGAACGGCGATCTGGCACTTCTCCCTCTTTACCTTGAGCCCGGCCTCCTGGAACCTGGTCAGCACGGCACGGAGGCGCTCGAACAGCTGCTGGTGTGAGTCTGCAGACACCAAGGCGTCATCAAAATATGGTACCATGCCCGGAAGCCCTTGCAGGAGACGCTCCATAAGGCTTTGGAAGATGCCAGGAGCCACACTCACCCCGAACTGCAACCGGCGGCAACGGAAAGCCCCCCGGTGGGTGACGATCGTCTGGGCTTCAGCAGTGGCATCATCGACTGGCAGTTGTTGATAGGCTTGGGCAAGGTCCAGCTTAGCGAAGACCTTACCCTCACCCAGGGAATGCAGCAGGTGTTGGACAACAGGAACCGGATAAGCGTGCTGCTGAAGTGCCTTGTTGATCGTGCACTTGTAGTCAGCGCAGATTCTCACCGACCCATCTGGCTTGACAGGCGTGACGATGGGGGTTTCCCACTTTGCGTGGTCAACCGGCTCCAAAACTCCTTGGGCGATCAGTTTGTCCAGTTGTTCGTCCACCTTAGCCTTGAGAGCAAAGGGAACCCGGCGTGGCTTTAGCTTGATGGGGGCGACTTGTGGATCAAGGCTAAAGGAGATGGGCGTACCTGTATATTGGCCCAAGGTGCCGTCAAAAACCTCGGCAAAGTCTTTGACCAGACCCTCAGTCTCTGCGTTAGAGATGCAGTTGATGCCGGTGACTTCCAGGCCGAGGGCATCAAACCAGTCTAGCCCTAGGAGGCTTGGCCGCTGACCTTCGACCACCACCAACCGGAGCAGGCCCGAAAAATCCTTGAAGGCGATCCGGAACCGGCCAACGCCTACCACGGGAATGTCGTTTCCCTGGTAGTCTCTCAGGTGTACGCGGTGAGAGTCGAGTTGCCTTTTGGACACTCTGGGTACCAGTCTTTTGATAGTGCTCCATGACACGATGGACAGGGCAGACCCGGTGTCGATCTCCATGTCACATGGAGCTCCTTCAATGAGCACCGTGACGTTCAGCTTGCGTCGCGTAGGCGAGTCGGTTTGGCCAATCGTGGTTCCAGACGGGCAGCGGCAGTTGGTGAGAGCGAAACAACTTTCCTTGGCAGACTGGAGTGAAGACTTGGACTTGCGAGTCGATGAAGGGGGGTGTCAGGCGGAGCCGATCGGCAGACCTTAGCGATGTGGCCCCTTCTGGAACACTTCCTACAGATGGCGTCTCTGAATCGACACTTGGTACGGGAATGGTTGCCCCCGCAGCCAGCACATTCCGGTTGGCCCTTGGACTTCTGTTGGAACTTCCTGCGCTCCCGCTTTGTCTGGTGCACGTCATCGTCTTCACTGGAGGATGCCTCCTCACTGCTGGCCTCTTCATGATGCACCGGAACTGGCTCCCTAGCAAGACGCGGGCTGCTGGACTTGCGGATCTCCTGGGCGGAGCGTTCAGCAGCTTCTGAGGCCACAGCCTCCTCAATGGCTTTCTGTAGCGTGAGGTCTGGCTTGGCTAGGAGGCGCCGTTGCAGATGGATGTCCCGGACCCCGCAGACGATTCGATCCATCAGGGTATCGTCTAAGTCTCGGAACTCACAGTGCATTGCAGCCTGTCGCAGGGCGGTGGTGTAGTTGTTGATTGACTCCCCCTCTGCCTGGTTCCGGTGGTAGAACGCATGGCGGGCAGCAATCTTGGACGGCTTTGGTGCGTAGTGGTTGCGGAGCTTCTCCTGGATCGTGTCCCATGGTGTTGCCTGGACTGCTTCAGGCGCAACCAACGCTCGGGCCGTCTCAAACACCTCAGGCCCACAGAGGCTGAGGAATAGGCCCCGCTTCCGCTCCTGTGATACTGCTGTCAGCTCGTTGGCTTGGAGGTAGCAGTCGAACCGAGCGAGGTAGGAGTCCCATGATTCAGAGGCTGGCGCAAAAGGCGGTAGAGGCACAAGTGAAGCCATGATTCCGATGCCGGCGTGAAGGGCGATGGATGGAACACAGTGCTCTAGCCAGAACAGTCAGCTCTGAATTGGTTCTGCCCAGTGATTTCGCTCAGTGATTTCGCTCTGTGATTCAGCTCAGTTCAGAGGCTGGCCGCATCTGGCTGTGCTCTGATGTCCATCGATCCCACCTTCGTCGCCAGTGTTAGGTCGTGGGGTGACATAGCAGCCGGCACAGCGATTTCTTCAAGTAGCTCTTTATTATGGTAAGCTGGAATAGAACTGACTGCAAACAGCTCAGCCGGCCTGTATTTATAGGCAGCCGGCTGTCAACATTGTAACCACAACAGCCCAGAGTTCCCGCCTAAAATAACAGACGCGGACCTGAGTGAAAACTATCTACAGACCTGAGTGAAAACTATATACAGTATCCCCCTGTTGGCCCAGGGTGAAACTGCACTACATAACAGAAACTTCATGTTAATGAAACATTTTTATGTTTAACTGTGTATTTTTGTAATATTTTAAGTTGCCTGTTGTTGCTTCAGTTTTTTGTACACTGCTTAGAGATGTTTTTAATATATTAAACAATATAATTAATTAATTAATTAATTAATTATCACCCTACCTGCAATTTCCAGCAACTGGTATTCAGAGGCACCCTGCCTCCACCAATAGAGGTGCCATCATGCTAGCAGCCATTGATGGCCTTTTCCTTCATGAATTTGTCCAATACTCTTTTAAAGCCTTTCACAGTTCACAGTCTTTGCCTCAAATGTCTCCCTTCCCAGGAGCAAGGATCTTACAGACCTTATTTAGCTAAATGGTAGAGCATAACCCTGCAGGTTCAATCCCAGGCATCTCCAGGTGCAGCTAGGACACACTCCTGCCTAAAACCCTGGATAGCCACTACCAGTCAGTATAGGCAGTTCTGAGCCCATGTAGAACTCTGACTGAATATGAGGCAGCTTCTTATGTTCCTAATGTTCCCAGAGTGGTTTTCCACCTGTGTTCTAGGCAGACACCACAAAATAATAGTACTATACAGATAATTCCTTTGCCTTCGGACAGGGCTTCCCAGGATGTTAGAGCAGTCAAAACAACAGGTGCTCACAGGAGAAATCTAGGATGCTACTGTACCTGTGATTTGGTAGCAGCGTATCCCAACCACCAACTGCCACCACCTCTTCTGTGCTGCAAACTATGGTTTGAATTCACATGAGACAACACTCAAACCCACAGGCTGAGCCAGTGTCCTTGGTAAACCAAGTGTGGCACGTCCCAGAATTCTCTGCAGCACACAATGGTTTGAGCTGATGTGGGGGCAGAAAGATATGAGATGAATTTATTCATTCATTACATTATATATCATTATATATCAGTGGCTCATGGCAATGTGTAAGGGTCTCACCATCCACATTTTATCCTCAAAGCCTCAACCCTGGAAAGTAGGTTATGCTGAAAACCCAGGCAACTTCATGGCCAAGTACATTTGAACCTGGGACTCCTTGGTCTTAGTGTGACACTTTAACCCACTATACCATTATTCGGAACACAAATATTTAATGTCTTAAGGGTAGGGATGGAGGAGAGACTTGGTTTGGTTTGCATTTTAATGTGAACCTTCCTAATTCCCACTTCCATAAATAATCCACAAACCAAAGCACAGCTATCCTTCTTAATCCACGCCTCACTGGATTTTGCAATGTAGTAGTCCAACAAAAAATGTTATGAAAAATGTGTATGAAAGTGCTGGTTCATTTTTGTGAGGACATTTTTGCTGAATTTTCAATCATTTTACCTCCCACAGGAGAAAAGCTATCAACAAGAGCAAAGAGTCTGTATTCTCGGAGAACGAGCGTGAGGCTGTGAAGTACCTGTCGGCAACACAGGTGAACGATGCCGTCCAGGAACAGTATGTTCTCCTGCCAGTCGATCCCACCCTGGAGTGCCACAGCCCACCTCCTGACTACAACTCAGTGATTCAGTACTCTGCTCCTCCAGTGTAATTGGCTCAGGGCTGATCTTCTTCATTTTACACATCTTTGACCATACAGTATATTCATCAGGCTTCCTATTTGTGCTGCCTGCTTAATGGAACCAGTGGGGTGGTTTTTTCGCACAAAAACGGGGATAAGAGATCACACTCTTATCCAGGTCCATCTGTCCAAGGTATTAAACCCCCAAAGCAGATAGAAGTCCTTTGAAGAGCAGCTGTCTTAAAGGGTATATTTCTGCTGATCTAGCTCTTATTTTCTAACCTTCTGCACAGCAAATTTGTTTAAAGAAGAAAAAATGCAGTTGTACCCATTGCATTGTCATTCTGTGGGGGCTTCTTTCTCAAAGCTTTGGGATATACACTGAAAATTCTGGTTCTGTTAACAGGGGCATATTCTTCAGGGATCACTTCTCTCACAGTTTCAGGTAGAAATAAGAATTTCTCTTTTCCTCATTTTTGGTTCCTTATTATCATTACCATATTTACATCTGCCAGAATCCCACCCCTTCCCTAGTCCACATCAGATTACAATTAGCTTGCACTGCAAAACAGGGCTGGGGTGGGATTCATATTTATACTGACAGCCAATGTCCTTTGTTCCTAATAAATAAAAGCTAATAAGGGAATAATTAGATGAGCTCATTCTTTTCCAGAGCAAACTTCCCTTCCCTCTTTCTCCCAATGAAAAGTCTGACAATTATAACTGTGTAACTGTCATGACTTCCCCCAAAGAACCCTGGAAATTATAGTTTAGGAAGGGTGTAGGATAATTCTCCATTGCAGATCCCAGGCCCCATCCCAGGCCCTTACTCATAGAAATCTCCCTTGGAGGAGAAAATGACCATTACATAACATCCTTTTCCCTGGCCTGTAGATTTGCCATTAGCTCCACTTTCCTCAAAATCTATTACAGAAAGAAATGGGTGTGAAAACTTTCATGGCAATGAATGTTAGTCATTCAGCAGGGACCAAAAAGACCTTTAGCCATCTAGGGTAGTGAGGTTCAATAGATCCAACAATATTGGAAAAACATAAAGAGAAAATATGCCTCAGGTGTTTTTGAGCCAGGCTAGGTCAAGCTGGAAGGCAAGCCTGTGACCCTGTGAAGCTGTGACTTTAAAAGCATCCTCTTAAAAGGTGTTTGGAAAGAAAATCTATTCGATTCTGGTAGGGATTTTTCAGACAGTGGCTCCAAAAAAGAAAATTGTATGCCTTGATGAGCAGCAAAAACATTTCGTTGAGAGGAAGAGAGGAGAGATGGCTATTTAAGGTGGGGGGGGGAGTTGTATTCCAGTCACTATCTTGCATATTCTGATCAATAACATGTTTTCTTTGGCTGTGTAATATGAATGCTGTGGAGATTGTGGCTACTTCCACTTTGTTCCTGCTCCCCACAAAGAGGTGTGTTGGCTGCACAACCACCCCAGGGCATCTGCACCATACTGTGGTCCTGAAAGTCATTGTATGGCTCCCAGAAAGGTGTAGTTGCCGTTTCTCTGTGATGTCCTTCCCCCACTACACACACACACACACACACACACACACACACACACACACACACCATTCCAGTTAATGTTAACATGCAGCTCTCTTTTGGGAGATACCCATGCTGGTGTTGTAAGTCAAAGTATCTGCTCATTCCACACTAGCATTGAAGGAGTATGGGAAGATGCAACCAGCCACTCTCATAAATCCAGAGAATGGCACAGAATAAGGAACCTTGAGGCCCTTTCCTCAGAGGCAGAGCAGTGGAAGAAGTGCCCTAACCCTTTTGCCCAAGCCCCCAATCCTGAAACTCTGACAAACACATAACCTTCTAACAGGGTCTCTGAAAACTGGTTTCAGGACCAGCAGAAGAACATTCAGCTTTCTCAAGGCCTGCTGCATTCAGCATCTCAGGTGTACAAAAAGGCAGCACTGAGCAGAGACGTAGCAAGAGAGGTGCATGTTTGTGTTCTCCCTAAATTCAGCTAATTGGCAACTGAGAAAGGGAGATGCAGAAAGTGCCTTATGGCATGAGAGTAGGTGTGACCCTTATCTTCTTGCAGGCAGGTTGCCTACTTCACCTCTTGTTCTGGATCTGAAACCCAAAGAGGCCTTCATTGAACTAATATGGAATTGAAGAATTTGTGTAGTATGACTCTTCCCAAAGCAAGAAGCACCCCATCTGGACTCAGTGCCTAGTTTCTTGCCAGGAATGGTTCTGACTTTGGATTCATAGACTTCCTCACTGTTTTTGTTTTAACCAGTCTGTGTAACTACCTAAAAATGAACCTATATTACTTGTATTTTATTTACTAATATTTTTCCTGCCCTTATCTTCCTATTCCCTTAATTTAATTACTATGTGTGTGTGTGTTTCCAATTAAGCTGCTATATGAGATAGATATAATCCTGCAGAAGCAAAGCACCTGATCTCACTGGTAGAGGTGAGCCTTTCCTTTGCATAACCTCTTTTCTCCCCAAAGGTGCTACCAATATGTTTGACTTCTGCAGGATCTTGCTCATTGTGTTTAATCTGTAAACGCAGTTCTATATAGACTTTCATTTATGTAGCAACGTGTATAATTCTTATGTACTACCAAAGAGCAGGAAATCCCCTGGAATAAGAGCTTTCCATGGGTTTACTGAAAATGTCACTAACGCTTGCAGGACAGGCCCCAGTTTATAAGAATCTCCCCAGTTCCACAATTACTGCCAATTTGGCCGAACACCACCCACTTCCCCATCTTCCTTATCATTTTGGTGACGTCTTTGTTTTATTTTTAATGCCACCTGGCTTCTTTCAGAAAACAGGGAGCTATGTGAATCTTGTGGTGTTTGGATCAAAGAGCAAGAAAGACATACCTTATTTTTTGCACCATAACACTCACTTTTTTCCTCCTAGAAAGTAAGGGGAAATGTCTGTGCGTGTTATGGAGGAAATGCCTACGGGTGGCATGCCTACGGATTTTCCTCCTCTAAAAACTACGTGCGTGTTATGGTCGGGTGCGTGTTATAGAGTGAAAAATACGGTAACTGACCTTGTTCCCACGTGAGGCTGATCTCAATTGCAGGACAAAAAGAGGAGCCAGTTGCCCAATAGAAGTGTATATTTTGGTATCTTAAGACTACTCAGGGAATATTTTGTGACTTCAGAAGATACTCAGCCACCTGCCTTTGTGACCTGACAAACCTCAGATATGTTCAATGTTAATGAGTACAAACCTGTCTCTCTTTGTTCCAAGCCAGACCTTATGTTTTTTCACTCCTGTAGCAACCCTACATTACCAGAGAAGATAGTATTATTAACCTGTTTTGTATCCAGGGCCGGCTCCACCATTAGGTAGAATGACACTGAGGGGCACACAAAACTGTGTACCATGTGGCTGACCTGCACCACCTGCCTGCTGCCTGTGGAGTTTGTCCCGGCACTAGTGTTGAAGTTAAGACTTCAGCTGGCAGTCTAGACAGCTTTTGTACCTGGAAATGGGCGAGACACTGACACATGCTTCCCTTCAGGCAGCAAAATGTCTTCAGTCAGCCCTGGTTTTCTCCCCCTTTATACCATAATCAGCAGCTTCAGAAAAGACATTTGTTCATAGCCAAAACCTATTCTTACAGTGAGATGATTCTTTCAGAAATATATTACTCGTCCTGCTCTAATTATATGTCGTTATCTGCTGCACTGACAAAAGCAATAATCACCCTATTTCCTGCCCTATATTTCTTTGGCCTTCTGCCTCTCGGTTGAGAAAGACACAGAGACAGAGAGAGACATTTGCTGGGAATCACAAGCAGGGAGAGTGCTGTTGGAACCATCTCCTGCTTGCGAGCTTCCCATTGGCCACTGTGAGAACAGAATGCTGATCCAAAAGGGCTCTTCATACGTCCTTAAATCTCCGGGCCTTGGTTGTGGGAAGACTTTTTATCAGGAACCGCACTGAGCAGAAACTCCCATAGTCTTGGGTTTCTTTTTTCTACTGCCCCATTTTCCCATTGTTCCTGAGTTGTCAGTACCATTAACAAATGCCTGTGACCCAAATAATGAGATGGCAGTGCAAGCAAATAAGTAAATGTCCCATTCTGCTCCAAACACTACAGAATGTACAGTGAGACCAGACCCTGTCTGTCTGAAGAATGCACTGGGGGGAAATCAAAACACCTGCTCTCATTATATATTCAAAAATGTATTGTAATTATTAACCAAAAATAAATAAATAAAAATAATTTGATTTTATACAGCCTTAAGCCTCCTTTGTGTCATATGTTCTCTATCCCAAGCATCGGATAGGAATTCCCATGTTAACTGAGGCATCAAAACAAACCCAATCATGATGCCTTCTTTTTTTTCTTCAAAGCCCCAGTTAAAAGCACTTTACACTATAGTGCAGGCCTGGTGCCTCTGGTTTGTTGGTAGATCTTTGGGTTCCACTAAAATACACAGATAGACAGAATTGCAACAGTAGCTCAGCTGCTTTGCATGCAGAAGACCTACATTCAATCCAATCATGCCCTGTTAAAAAGCTCAGCTGGTCCCTAGCCAAGAACCTGAGGAGCTGCTGCTAATCAGAGTTAGAAACAGGCTTTGTGGGTAAATAATCTAACCTAGAATAAGGCATCTTTCCTAGGAAGGAAGGTACATACTCAATGCATGGGGCCACAATGCAGCATTGGACTGCTATAGTTTTCAGTTTAGTGCTATAGTTTTCATCCAAAGGATGTTAGAAGTGGGAGGGGGAAGCACACAAGGACATTGGAAACAGAATCAAAGGCAGCCTCTCAAAAGAGCCTGTTATGTGACCAGCAGAACAGGAAGAATCCACTTGACGGCAGAAGCCTAAAAGGACTCAATGATTGGGAAGCCACAGTGACAAGAAGCATAGCAGGGTCCTCAAGCAAGAAATCAGGTCTTCTCACAGTTGTGGGTGTCCCACCACTTGGTGGGCAGCATATGACCCTTGTCAAGATCACATGGCTAAATCCAGACCAATGCCTTTACAAAATGAAGGCTGTTAAAACAAGGAGGGTGCATTCATGGGTACAAAAATGGTGGCAGCACATCAGTATGCTGTAAGCAGGGCTATTAAAGATTTAATATTGCATTTCCCCATTGTAGCTCACATGAAAACCATCTTTTTATAAAAGAGTAAAGACTGATTTTCAATATGGTATGCCAATGTAACCAAGAATTACAAAAGACATCCCAGCTTCTGATTGGATGTCCTGTTTTTGGTGCCAAGCTCTTGCACGAGTCTGCAGGCTCCTGCAAGAGCTCAACTCCAAAAGATGCACATCTTTCATGTGAAAGAAGGACTCTGAGTTGGAGCCCATGGAGGGGGAGGAGGGCTGGTGGTGGTGCAGGCCAGGCTTCCCTCACTGGACCCAAAGGTTGTGCCACCTCCACCCAATGACATCCCCACCAGAGGAGAAGAAACCAAGGAAGTCAAGGATGACAACGGAAGAGAAGGAGGAGCTGGAGGTGCCGGTATGGTGCTTGCTCTAAGAGTAGCAGCTGGTAACTGAGACAGGGGATGGGACCCAGCTGGCTTGACACCGAAAGATACACTTCCTGATTTTAATTGGTGGAATGCTGGAGAGTAGGATATGGCAATGGCATGACAGAATCAGGCAAACACCTCTTGCAGAAATCCTAACACAATGATGCAAGTTGGCCAGGAGGGAAATTAAACAAGGCCCCCTTTAAGGTATGTGGTTTGGACGACTTTCATTTGTCAGCTCTGAGCCGGGTGACTCACATCCGCTGACCTCACAGGAATCCTTTTGAAGAACTTCTCAGTATCTAGATGTATCCTGTACTGTATATTATTTCCATGTCAGTGAATGTCTGGCAAAATGCTGTGACCAAAGATTCACAGACTCTGTCACTTATATTTTAAGTTCAGTTTTTTATATCAATTGTTATTCCTAACCTCTTTTCTTCTTACAATAAAACTATAAATTGGGGGTGGGGACAGTAACAACATGGAAATGTTTCAGTGCCAGCTGAATTGTTTTAAATACAACACAGCCACCAATGTTCACATACACACATAACACAGAAAAAGCCACGCATATGCACACACCCCACCTGTGCTAGTTTCTACACACCTCTATCTAGCCTCCATCCAGGCAAACAAGAGGCAGCACCAGAGCTCAAGGACACATTTCAGCCAGGTAGAAACACTCAAGGAGCGTGTGAAGCAGAGCTGGTGAGAGGTGCAGCCTGGGGGAAAGTCTAAGACTTGGAGGCTTGGAGGTCCACATTTGGTCCCATGCTTGTTCTTCCCCACCACTGCATTTAGCCAAACTATGGCTTTTCAGGAATATGTAAACATGCAGGCTGCCACCAAGGAACTCACAGCAGTTTGCTTCCCCACTTTGCTGTATTGCAGATTGGACTAGAATACCCTTTGGGTCCCTTCCAGTTCTGCAGTCCCATGAGTCAGTGCTTCTGTGCTGTGTTTACTATGCCAATGTGTAGCTTAGTGTGTTGTCTGAACATGGACTCATGGTTATGCTCTCTCTCCTCACTAACCATAAGCTGTAGCTAAGGTTTATACCATGTCATCCAAACCAGAAGCTACATCTTGCCTTAAAATGGAAAGCAATATGAGCTATCAAGAACTGCAGGTGGGGAGAGTGCTGTAGCACTCAGGTCCTGCTTACGTGCGTCCCATTGGGGCATCTGGTTGGCCACTGTGAAAATAAGATGCTGGACTAAATGGGCATTTGGTCTGATCCAACAGCCGTGCTCCTCTTATTTTCTTAAGACATTTGAACCTAGCAGCCCTCACTCATAACTCTCTGACATCTGGTCCTCTAATCTCACCCAATAAACAGTCACTTGAGTAAGCCAGAACTATAGACTCTGATTTGCAAGGGATATTGATTTGTTGATGTGCTTACGGTTTTGTTTTGTTTTTATATTGGAGATATAAAAAGAGATGGCCAGGAGAAGCCCCTTTGGATTTGCTGGTGGTGAAGTAGCTGCCTCTTAATTTTGAAGTTGAACCTTTGTCAGAACAAATTCTTCAAGTTCTAAAAGGTTAATTTGCTTTTCATAAACTACACATTTTTTTTAAAAAAATGATAACTTTATTCCTTCCTGGAAGAGTTTTGACCTTTTATTCATGTATATTTTTCAACTCCACTATTTGCTGTTTACGCCATGAGCAAGGATGTCACAAACTGTCTTAGCAAATCGAGCAGCAAACAATGAAACGTGGGGGTAAGATGAGGAGAGCAGGTTGTGAGGGGTGGAAAACAAGCTGTCTGAAGGTAACAACTCCCTTTCTTTTCCTTATAAACAGGTCTCTGATTCATTACTGGGTGCCAATAATGGGGAAGGGCTATAGGTCCATGGCAGAGCATGTAGCTTTGTGTGCAGAAGGTCCCAGATTCAATCCCCAGTGGCATCTCCAGGTAGGGCCGGGATTGTCCCCATTCTGCAACCATTCTGCAACCAGTCTGTATAAGCAATACTGAGCTACATGGACCAGTAGCCAGACTCGGGGCTTATCCAGACTTAACTTTTTCCTCACTCTTTCCAGACAGAGGTTTGCGCTTTAACGCTCTGTGTCATAGTTGTTGTTGTTTTCCTCTCCACTTTCCCCACCAAAACACACTCTTTAAAACTGAATCAGAGCAAACATCGATTTGGGTTTTCTGCAGATTGACATTTGCTCCAACTGAGCTTTAAAGAGTGGGTTTTCACAAGGAAAGCTCGGGACATGACACATGGAGGTTTAAATCACAGACTTGGCCTAGAAAGAGCAGAATAAAGGTAAGTGTGGATAAGCCCTCAATATAAGGCACTGATGTTCCAGTTTTGCTCGATGGAGAGACAAAACATGCCAACAGCATGCTAGAACTGAATTGCCCTGAAGAACCTTTTCAATATCCCCTTTTCTTGCATTCTAAAGGCTGATTCATTAGAACAGTTAATAAATTATTTCCTCCAATTTGCAAACTGGAGGAGAACATTTTACCAATTCTGGGGAGCAGGAAATCCATGTACCGTATTTTTCGCTCTATAAGACGCACCAGACCACAAGACCACAAGACGCACCTAGTTTTTGGAGGAGGAAAACAAGGGGGGAAAAATTCTGAATCTCAGAAGCCAAAACAGCAAGAGGGATCGCTGCGCAGTGAAAGCAGCAATCCCTCTTGCTGTTCTGGCTTCTGGGATAGCTGCACAGCCTGCATTTGCTCCATAAGATGCACACACATTTCCCTTTACTTTTTAGGAGGGAAAAAGTGAGTCTTATAGAGCAAAAAATACGGTATTTGCCTTAGCATCAATGTGTTTTGGTGTAGTTATGTTTGGCAGCTTTTGTGACTCTCTCTATAGATCTGCCATATTAACTTGGTGCCCTCTGGACTACAACTCCCAGCAGCCCCAGCTTGTTCTCTCCCATAATGGTCATATGCAGAAAAGAGCAACTGAAATGAAAGGACATGGCTAATTTAGGGCTATTCATTTCAATGGGCCTACTCTGAGTACACAACCCTCCAGGGTCCAGGGTGCATGGAGTGTTAGGGGAGGGGGTAGTACCTCTGGTGGGGGACATGTCATGCTCCTTCTGGGGCAGTTTGTCCACATTTGGCCCCCACTCCACAATCAGTTCTCACCTGTGACTCCTAAATGGGCTACCTTCCCAAGTTGATGAGCCCAACGTGCCCCATACAGCACAGGCCAAAACTGCCTTCTTGACTGTTAGAACCCCTGTTGGCCTTGTCTACTCAATCTGCCGGAGCCTGTCTTTGCATAAAGCGGAAGTCCCTAACTCACCAAGTGTTTGCGATCCATTGGCTACCCTCACCTGGTTTAGCCAGCCAGTTGAAGCCTTTATATGATCCACAGAATGGAGCAACTCTATGCTGAAAGGTAGCAGCATTTGGGTCTTATTAGTTTCAAGAAAAGCCAAGTAGGTTCCTAAAAGTATGCATGGTGTGGCATATCATGGAGACAGTGGATAGAGAGGTGTTTTCTTCATGGAATCATAGAATTATAGAGTTGGATGGGACCCCAAGGATCATCTAGTTCAACCCCCTGAAGGAGTGCCATTGGCAGGATCCCTAGCAGAGTAACCTGCAGAGGGCCCCAAAATGGAGCATTCCAGGGTGGGTGGAACCTGAATCGGTCTCACTGCCATCTTGCAGTGGCATCAAACCCTGTCCAGGCCCACTCACTGTTCCAGTTCCAAGCTTAGTGTGGCAATTGCCCTGTCCCATCCCCATCT